TATGGACAAGATTTTTAAAATTGGTTGTGGTTTTGAGATATAAACTGCCAGGGTTTCATTCTTYGCATTTGTTTGCCTGAATGTAGAAGTTTTAAAGCTTTGATGTCCCTGGGCTTTGAAATCTAATAGCAAATGTCAATACTTAAGTAGACCTATAAACAGGATGATAATTTCCATATAATCTAGGTTCTTTCATAGACTTAGAAATCACAAGATAMTCATTTAAATTGTAGTCTAGTAGCTCATTTAAGGGGAACTTCACATGAACTTCTGTGTTTGAGTTTCTCGGAGCCTGATCACACCTGTCAGAACTTTTATTACTATTYTTTTATTATACCTGATCATGCCTGTTAGAAATATTTTGAGGATTTAGGTACCGTATAAAATGATGGAAATCATCCTTTTTTTGCCTTTTGTCGTCCCGMCAGGCTGTCGATGGAAATTTGGCCAGCTGATAGGCCCCTTGTTGTTAGCYTAGCAGAGCCAGTGTTAGTCCTTGAGCAGGTAAGTTCTCCCAGGGCAGGAGAGGTTRTGCTTGGTGATGAATAGAGCAGCTCTAGTGAGACCAGTGTACTCCATGTTTCTGTTCCATTGGGATAAAAGTCGGTCAGCAGATATCAAGGAATCCTTCAGCCTTCATCTGCATGCGGGTGAGACTCGAGCAGAGGAGGTAGAGAARGGGATTGCTGGGAGAGTCTAGGTGAGAGCCCACAGGAAAAAGCCAAGCTGGGCGAGAACCTCAGTCATACCGTYCTGCTCTAAATGCAGCAAAGAAAAGGTGCTGCTTCAGTTTTAGATAGTACTGATATATAGAAATATAAAATTGTTCAGGAGTGCAAAAGAGCTGGCAGTTGTAACCAGCTTAATTGTCAGAAGAACAAAATTCTGAAAAAAACATCTCTGCTGCAAGACCAAGCAATATCTGATTTTACCAGGGCTCTAAGGCGAGGGGTGTGGAGATAGCAGGGGCTGTGCCTGACCCACATCCCTTCTACCCCAGTGTTTATAGGTATCAGATTCCTGCTCTGCTCTTAAACCAGGTAAGTGTCAATAAAGCTGGAAAATAGCTGACACAGAGGACCTGCAGAAGGGCACAACTATTGTCTAACGTGTTTGACTTTTCAGCCTGTGTCAYCTCCTTCCCCTGTGGCTTTCGCTTGTGTGATCACCACTGGAGATGTCACCAGCKTCTTTATTTCTGGCATCTTGCCTCTGAGAGTAGCTGAAACAAACTTTTAAGAATATTTTAAAAGAAGGAACAATAGATCGATTAGCAAATATTTTAACAAACAAGTTTTGTAGCCATCATGTCAGGTGGCACTCAGACAAGCTAAAATAAAGCAATTTAAAGTTGCAGACCAACTCATGCAGACTCTTAGTTCACACACACCAAAACGATTATATTTTAGTTTTTCCTCGCTACGCACTCTAATACGATTTTTAAAATATATGATGACATGACATCTCCTCCTCCACAGGACATCTTCAGTAAAAGTTGGTAAGAAAGAGCTTCTTCCTTAAATCCTCAGCTTATTAATTATGCTTTAAATGAAATCCTCATCTTTGCCTGTGAGATCACAAGGCTTTCCAGTAGATAGGCACTGCCATCGGTGTGTTTGAATGTCTTCACTAAGACAGCTTTATGTTCTTACTTAACGTGCAATCACATCACAAATCATGCCTCAGATTTCCCTTTCTCTTGAGTCGTGCCTTTGAAGCATGACCCCAACTCTGCATTTCAATCCTCAGCCATTCTAGCCATAGAGAGCGGCTCCTCTGCAGGCAACGGAGAGCTTTACAACATTTGGCATCGCTTAATATCCCTGTTGCAAATGTTATACAGTCTTGGAACTGTGTTTATTTTTACAGAGTATTTTTTAGAGTATTTTAATGTCTGTGCTAAATTGTGGTTACTGTCAGTTACTAATTTTCAGTGTTTTATTTAGAACTGGACCTACAATACCTTCTAACACCAACAAACATAAATTTTCTCTTAAGATGAAATGCCTTTTTCTAACATATGTGAAGTGCTTTGTATTCTTCAGACAATCTCTAAAAGATGAGCTGCTTTGTCACTGATGAGTCAAAGCAGGATGCTTTATACTTTAATTAAATGTAATGTAAACTAGAAACAGAAGACAGCTAACTCTTAATACAGTCCACAGAGAGCTCTAAATAATAAACATCCTACTTGAACTGAGATGTTGATGGCTGAAAATGCATTAAGTAGACAGAGAAACAAAAACAAATGAAGGTGAGAACTCAGTCAGGCAAGCTGAAGTGGCCTGAACACTTTGTCGGGAGGGTTAGTGCTAATGCATTTTGCATTAGTGTGATGCCTGTAAAATACTGGCTCCTGACATCAGAGTTAATGACCACAGTTTTATCTTATCTACACATGTTTAAATACGGGAATAATAATATATAAGAAAGATTTTTTTTACCTATTAATGTTGATTGCAGAAGATTTGCACAGCTTATGAAAGAGCTGGCATAAAGCAGTAAGTCACAGTTGTAGTACAAGGGTGTTATGGTCAAGTTCAGWTGTGATGAAAAATTGATGGAAAGAAATAAGAGCAGACAATGCCAAATCCACACACCAAACAATATAAGCTATTTTTAGAATGATGTTTATAGAACCAGATTAAGTGAGTGAAAAATTTGGTGAGAGGATTTAATATATCAATATTAGAGAGGATTTAATATATCATCAATATTAGGAGGATTTGTAGCCTCGTTTGTAGCTTCAGAGGTAATACCTTCAAATATGCTACAGACTAACACAGAGTATCTTCCATAAAGTCCATAAAGTAACTTTCAACCCCAGAGTGTTACGCAGAGGGTAACAGTAAATCTCTACAGATCATTTGCTGCGAGTCTTGTCATCTTGGTGAGCTGTATTTTTTGGAGATCAGGAGACAGCCACTCCTGAGTGTCTTGATGCAAGGTGAGGGGGGAAAGGGCCTGGGGATGCTGCTGCAAAGGTGAGGATGTCTTGCCAGCACCTCACTGTGGAGGAGTTGGCTGCCTGGTGAAACAGTGGGACTTTGCTCCTAAATGGAGATTCTGCATACAGGTTATAGCCCAGAAGCTCTAAATCTCTAAAGCTGGAGTGGTTGGCCCCGAAGCCATTTGACTGAATAGCGGCAGGCCAGGTGCCCCTGCGTCACACGCCTGTGATCGGGGGACTTTGGCTATTCGGGGCAAGTATAGCAATTGAGAACAGCATTGGGCCCATATCATGGTCGGAGGAATATCATCAGGATTTAAACTGTTCTCAAAGTCTGCATTTTTTTTGGGGAGGGGGAAGTGAAATTACTTATCAGAGTCATTTTCTCTCTCTCATCTGAGAGTCACAAGTCACTGCTCAGAGTAAGATTAAAAACCTTTGTCTTGGACCAGGCTGCCCAGGGAGGCTGTGGAGTCTTCTTCTCTGGAGATCTTCCCAACCCGCCTGGATGCCGCACTGTGCCCCGTGCTCTGGGTGTCCCTGCTGGAGTAGGGGGTTGGACTGGATGGTCTCTAGGGGTCCCTGCCAACCTCAACCGTTCTATGGTTCTGCCTTGATCTCCATGGTCAGGTCTTTCTTTACTCTCCAAAGAGTTAGAGAGTTTACTCTCTACCTAAAGAGTTAGAGTTTACTCTTTAGTRAAGAGTTAAAGAGTTTAGTTAAAGAGTTTACACTCTAAAGAGTAAAGCTGTTAGGAGAAGGTTTGAGTACTCCTGTATGTGGAGGGCTACAAGAGCGGCCACCCGAGCCAGATAAAACAGACTGAGTTTCAGCTGCATTTCTGCTGCTGAGACTTGGCTCACCTTGGCTTCTGCATAGACCGTTCCTACAGGTTCTTCATTCTCATCTCTTAAAACCCAAAGCCTGATCTCATCRCTGACAATCAAGAAGAATCCCCTGTAACTGCTTGAAGGAGGATTCTAGTTAGGCAGAGACATTCAGCCCTTGGCAAGATCCTTTGGTTATTTCCATTGCATAAAATGTCTTTAGTTTCCTGGATTTCAGGATCTTAGCAGTATTGCAGTGCTTTATAGCCCTGTTGGGGCAGTGCATTTCTTGAGTCAAGAAGAGAGTTGAGGCACTGCTGATCCCACTCTGAAGTGTCTCCAACCACGGTACTTSAAGCATCCAAGATCCTGTACAGCAAGTGCTGGAACAGGTAAAACTAATGGGACTGATTCCAGGACTTGCAAAGAGGTCTGTGAAGCTTTATTTCTTCCAAGTACAGTAACTTACTAGTGCGAGATAAAATGTTGCCTGTAGTACTAAGAGGGTAGATCATACACAAAAAAAACCTTCTGTGTAATGAAAAGTCCTTTTAAACAAATGTATTTGAATGTATACTTGCATGAGCTCCTGCTGTCTGTGCATATCTTCCCTTGATGGTTTAGACATATAAATAGGCACTAAATGTACTTCTAAGCTTTTTATTTCACCATTACAGGTGAAGCCACATTTAGTTTGTCTTTCTGTCTGTTTTCTATTACTTTCAGTTCTTGGAACATATGGTTTTRTTAAACAAGAATTATTTTTAGTTGAACCAAACATAGTTCTATGTCGGGCTGTAGTAGTTAACCTGTGCAGTGGTTTTTGTTTGAAGCTTTTGCTCGTAGGCAGCATCCATACTAGGAGCTAATAGCTGCTCGAGGTATTTATGCTTTGGGTTGACATTGTGGCTTAAGTCTGTTTACAGATACAGTTCATAGAGGTAATTCTGYTCAAGCTTCATCACTCTGGATGTCAGGATGCAGAGGAATCAGATTTTAGCAATTGAGTATTGTTCAGGTAAAGCCAACAAATAGGAATGAGCTCCCATGTTTTACCTGTACCTCAAGGGCAAAGTGGAGTATCCCAGAAGCATTAGGTGGAACAAAAAGGAGAATATAGTTAGGACTTTTCACACTCTATTGTTGTAGTGTTTCAGGATGCAGAGTTTACATATCAGTCTGCTAGGGATTGCCATTTGTAACCTTTTGTTTGCTTGTTTTAGCCTCTTGGGGCCAGTGACTACTTGGAAATATCCAAGCACTTCGACACGGTCTTTGTGCGCCACATACCACTGCTTACCATGGCGAAAAGGACCCAAGCACGCCGCTTCATTACGCTTATTGACACCTTCTATGAGCATAAGGTGAGAACTAAGCAGTCATAGATGTCTTGGAATAATACTGGGAGTGCTAAAACCTGACTGTTAGAAAGCCTGACTTCCAAGTAATAGCTTATTAATAATTTGGAAAACATAAGCAGAATGGACTAGCACTGTACAGAAGGCTGCGTTGCAAGAGTAGTTTCTGTAAGTACTTAAGCCTAAGTAATATAGACGTGAGATTATTTGCCTTTCTTGAGTTGAAATGGTTTTTCTGAGAGTAATTTAATTGAGTTTGTATGGACAGTTGGACAGGAAGTGCCCTCCTGAAGAGGCTGCGGAGGAGTTAACAGCATCCTTAGGTGTACTGCGAATTTCGGGAGGAGCCGTCCCCGTAGGCTTTGCCTTACGTTGCAGAGCTGCTGATGGAATACTAATGATAAATGCAGCACTTCACAGGGATTTACAGAGGTTTCAATCACAGAAGCAAAATCAGCACTGTTAAAACAAAGAAAAAAGAAGGCAAATTCATATTTAAGGGTTTTTTTTTAAGTAATGAAAGATACTAAACTCCATTCCATTTGCAATTATATATGCACACACTTAAATATTCATGCAATCAGGAAATATCAATAGAGGTTTTTCAAGGATGTCCTGGCAAGATGGTCAGAAAGGCCCCGATTCAGCCCAGTATTGAGGTATGTGCTCTAACTACTCGCAGCAGTCGTCTTGTTCTGGTCAGCCAGACTCTTTGTGCTGTCTGCATTAGAAATGGAGAGTTTCTAGAGGGTACACCAATCCTCTAGTAGGATGGGATAAGTAAAAGGATAGAGGATATACTAATATATTAATGATAGGGTGTCAGAAATACTTATTTTTGTGATCTGCATACTATCATTAAGGATCGTCAGCAAGCAGTTGCATTCTGTAGTAGAAAAAAAAACCCACACAAATATGAAACTCCCATAACCWGTAATTGTGTGGAAAAACTATCCGAAGAGCTTATTTGTAGAGACCTTATTTTGTTTGCAGTGGAAACGTTTTGCCTGGATGCTTTCAACAAGTGACTGTGGTCCCCCAGTGAGAGGGCACTGCAGGTCACTGACCTACCCAGAGGGATCCTGATAATAGGGAAAAGAAGTTGTTGAGTAATATCTTATAGCTGTTATTTTAGAAGGTAAATTTGATCATGAACTCTTTGTAGCTATTCTGATACAGCTGTTATTCTGCATGCTCTTAGAAGTGTGGTTACGCTGTTCCCTGAGTAAGTTACTTGAGTTGATATTAAGAAAAAGATTCTGTAAGATTGAAATTCCAAGTGACTAAATCAAGTAAATCTGGAACAGMGCTGTTAAGTAAGAGAGAGGAAAAATATCTGGGGGAAAAAAAGCCCCAAGAAAAYAGAAACCAAGGTGGTAAATAGAAGTTTGCTTTTCCTAAAAGATGCATTTTATCCTTTATGTATAAAAGGCAAGTGGTGATATCGTTGCTTGTTTTTCCTCTCTCAGGTGCGGATCATTTGTTCGGCAGTGACTCCTCTCCAGAGCCTGTTCCTGGTAGAGAGTGACAGCGGGGAGCTAGAGGACAACAGGGTGTTGATGGATGATCTGGACTTGAGCCAGGTAYATCGTATTAACATCGGCTCCCTTTTGTAGCAAAATTGGTTTGGGTCTCATAATTACAGCAGCAATTGAGGAAAAGAAATCGAGTCAACGTTTAACTAGTGATTTGCTGCTTTTTCTGTAGTGTATTTGTCACTCATAATTGTATGTTAGGTTATTCACTCATGGTCCAAGAAAGTATCACAATACAGAGAACCATTTTGCTTTAAATTTTAGGGGCATTTTGATTGCTAATGGTTATATCTGTTCAGCCACCTATGAAAATAGTGATTTAAATGTAGCTCTTATACTTGAAATACAGAAATAAAAATAATTGAGCTCTTTTTAGAGCATACAGGGCTATCAGTTTCTCAGGGAGAATGCTATTTTGCATGCCCCTTATTCTGTTTTTCATTTCCTTTATAATGTAGTTGCTTTTAATGATTTTTAAATGGTCKTGACAAAAGCCCATACAATTAGAGTCAGCTGAAAAGTGGAAATAGCTGGTTACAGTGTCAACATGTCACCAAATGTCTTGCTTTGCCATGTTTCTTCAGAGGATTAACTAGCTGAAATAGGAGGTGACCTGTATTTTCCATTGGTGTCCTGTTACCTTGTTCAACCTGTAGCATTCAGTGTTGCAGTTTGTGCAGGAGGGACTTTGGTGCAGCTCTGTTCCTCACAGTTTCGTGGAACTGTTTGTGTAGGATTCTGCCAAGGGACTCTCCATGTTCACAGGAGAAGAGGAGATCTTTGCCTTCCAGCGAACCATCTCCCGGCTCACGGAAATGCAGACTGAGCAGTACTGGAAAGATGGGGACAGAAGCATAAAATAGGTATAATTGGAAAATGAGTGAACACTGAAGAAGTGTGTCAGGAAATAAAACTACAGAATTGGAATGCTTTTTAGCACAACTGAAATGATTTATTGCACTTTATCTTCTGGACCATGTTAGTTTTTATCACGTGATTTTTACGCTTCAGATGTAAGGTGGGTTTTGGGTTTTTTTGGGGGGGTACCACTAATTTGTGGCCACATGAAATTTTGCTTTGATTTCCTTTTCTGTAAAACATAAATTCGCACCATAAATTTAACTGGATACTTGAAACCTCAGAGGATCCAACTTAACACGGGTGACAAAAGAACACTATGATAGCGTCACAAAAAGCCTTTAAATGGGATTTGGGGAGGGCGGAGGGGGTGGGAAGCAGGAGGTGCCCCCTGCTTCTGCCTGCTCTGCTCCTGCTTTTCCRTTCTGATCCCTTCTCTTTACCCTGGAAATGCCTCCTACTGGCTCCACCAGTTCCCAAATACTTCTCAAAGCCTATACTTACAGCTGTGTAAACTGCTAACTATGTTATTCCCATGAGGGTGACTACAACAAGGAATGTTAATATATATTTATGAAAACTCCRGAGTAGATCGCATTTACATAGGAATTCAGGCAGATCTGCTGTATCTTTCAGAGATTTTGTTTATTCATTAGGTTAACTTAATGAGGTTTCTCAACAGAGGGGCTATTGAGAAACGATTTTAATGCATGCAGATGCATGTGGGTATGTGTATTTAAAAGCTATGGATGTTTATAATTTCATTTTGGATGTGTGTATGTTATCCATGGCAGCCTCCGCTTGTGAGGCCGGGCAGATGCTGAGGATCCCCGAAGCCCCGGCCTGGCCCTGATGCTCCTTGTGGTGCCCTGACAGGCTGCCTCCTACGTCGAGGTGCTGTAGAGCCCAAAATGGGAAGGCTGAGAGGCCTCCTGGTGAGTTTGGCCCAGTCTTTAAGGGCCCTGAAGCTGCTGGATTGGTGCCGTGCGCCTCCGCACCCCGTCCAGGCRCCGCTGAGGTTCTTAACTTGCCAGGTGCTGCTCTCTCGGATCTTCCATGTGTTCCCGTGTCGCTCCTGGTCTTCCGTCAAGCTCTATTGCTGCGCTACTTCCAAGCCTTTTTTAGAAGTAATCCTGTTGATGTGGGATGATACTGTCACAGTAAGGAAACTGTCACAGTAAGGAAACCCTCGGATGACGGGCACCCCGTGAAGTGTCTCAGGTTGGTTCGTGAAGGCCACGTCCCGGCTGAGCACTGAACTCGAACACCCGCTTGATCGATGTTCCCGATGCCCCAAAGATGAAATTACAGCTTTGGGGCATGTAGGCACTTGAAAGCTGTATTTTCATTCCAGATTTTGTGCAGTACATCTGATTTTATWGATAGCCAAGTTCTGCCTTTCCAAACTAGTGCATCTCAGCATTTCCCTTCTCAGAAGTAGAGGGAACAATCCCAGTATTTGGGCCATGATGAGGGGGCCTCCAAAAGGCTTTTTGGGGCACTGAAGATGCACTTTTTGCTGTTGTCATTTTTAATCTAAAAAGGGAAACCACTGATGCCTTATTCTGAGTAAGAATTCTAAGTAATCTGTGATCAGAATGAAGCTAGATGGGTGTCTCCTATTTTAATTCAATTTGAGCATGGAACAAATGGCCAGTTTTGAAGCAGATGCCTCCAGACCTCAACAAGGAGAACAACAGTCTCTCCATTGAGGTGCATCCAAGAGGATCGAGATCCAGGAATTCTCGTTTTGGAATTGCCTGGATCTGAATTAGCCCCGTGCCTCAGTTTCCCTGTCAAGAAGATGGCAATGATGTTAACTTCTTATTCCCTAACACTGGAGCACTGCCAGGCTTAGCTCATTCATATTCTGAGATGCTCCCCGAGGCTCTGGGATGAAAATACTTCAGTAAAGTATGTAAATAGCAGAAAAATAATTCAGCTACTCAGAGTGGTTTAGTTTTCTTGTTTGGGTTACAGAATAAATGCCATCAACAAAACACCACATGCCTCTTTGTAATGATGTTTTTCTTTGCATAATGCATCTATTTTAACGAAAAAAAAAAAAAGAGGGTTGTGATAATTAAAAAAAAAAAAAAAGACAAACCAATTCATGTAGTTTTTCATCTACCTATAATGTCAGGTTTCCTTTATGATCCATTACCACTTCAGTTCTTGTACTTGTGAGCTACAGTAGCTTCATAATTCTGTCAGGATTTTCATTTTATTGTATACTGAGAATTTTTWAAAAATATATAATTTGGAGTCTAATATATAACAAAGCGAGCAGTGGTAAATCCTGCTGTTGAAAAAGTATTCTGTAAAGGGAAAGCCTAATAAATCCAGGTTTTGTAAACATTTTATGTGTGATTCATGGTCTTTATCTATATGGAYTGCGGAATAAGCAGGACTTGCCCCTGAAGCGCGCGGTGGGGTTTGGGCCCCGTTTTGGGCCCTGCTTTGCTCCGGGTAGCGGCAGCACCTCAGGGTGCTGCCCCACGCCAGCTGCCTGGCCAGGGCTCCCGAGCCAAGTGCTGCAGCGGCAGCAATGTCCCGTGTTGAGGATTGCTCCCGGGAAGCTGCTTTATGGTTCCGCAGGATTCAGAGAGGTTCGGAAGCGTGAGGCTGCACCCTGCCTACCAGTGAGGTGAGCTCTGGATCCTCTCCTCCAGGTTACTGTCCTTGCATGGGGCTTTTCCCTCCTCTGGAGCATCCCRAAGCAGCGGCGGCGCCTCCAGGGCCTGACGGCACGTTTTGTTGCGAGGAGCTGGATCCAGCCTGGATCTGCCAGGCTCTTCCAGGCCTGGGCCGGAGACCACAGCAGGGTTCGCCGAGCGCTTGGCCGTGGCGCCCYGCTCTGCATCCTGCCCCTTTCTGTTCCCGCCTCAGCCGCCCCGGGACGTCCACAGCCCTGTTTGAGCTGCGCTTAAGCTGCTCAGCGGCGTCCTGTGAGATGCCAAAACCCTTAAACCTTCCCCCCTCCCCCTCCACCCCAYAGGCATTTCCCTGTGAACTTGGGGCCCTCGTGTGCCTGCAAAAGTGGGAGCAAAGTCCCACTTTGGGGGGGACTCCGCGCGGCTTCGGGCGCCCGGACGGAGCAGGTGGGCGACGCAGGCCGCCCGCGCCCTCCCCAGCCTGCCGCATTCCCCGCATATTTGTAAAACAACTTTTGTTTTAAATTGAATTGGATTCTGAGAGTGCCATTAAAACACAGAAATGCCTCTCACTGACCTATTACTCTGCATTCATGTTGGTAAAATTTTGGATGAGTTTCTATAGTCCTCCCGCCAGTTCTTTGTCAGGGTGAAGGGTTTAGTTGGCTCCGTTAATCCACTCTATAGCTGAAATTGTTCATTTAAATCGTTATAAAAATCCACTCTTTCCCAATGAGAATCCTATAGTCCCAGATTCAAGTACTGCTGCCAGTGCAAAGATTTCAAATTCTTTGAGTGCAATCAAACACTGTCAGTCCAAAGCCAAATTACAAGCACTTGTCCACAATTCCCCTTACTCAGCTCTACGCTAATTTTTCCAGCAGGCAACAATAGCCCCAAAAGTATAGGAAAATTGCTAGAAGAACTTAAGAAATGCTTGATCAATTCCTTCAAAAGCTGTAGTACAAATCTGCCACATCCTGCTATTGCAAAAACCAAAAACTCCAGTTCTGTGACTGAATATAATTTTAGATTATAGAAATCACAGCCACTGAAAGACGAAGCATGGAGCAAAAGATCAAGCGCTTGTTTAAGCTCAGGTTACCTGACCCAGGAAAAGCAAGCTGCCGTGAAGCAAAAGCTTTCTTTGTAGCCTCTGTTCTTTTGCAATTAGTTGGGCCAAAAATACTTGCATAACTGGTTTATTCTACTTTCAACAATGGGTAATTTTCAGGTCGAGAAAATGACACGCTTGTTGGTTGAGTTCTTTTCTTGCAGAGTTGTTAAGACCGTTGTTTGTGTCGGGTCTCCCTCAGGTTCATCCTTACCATGTGTAAGGTGCTCACCAGGCTTTCCCTGGCATTGAGGTCCAAGCACTCCGGAAACAAGGGACAAAGTTGGTTGGAGGGAAAGAAAATCGGGTTTGTTGAAAGCCCAGGCAGAAGCCCAGTCTGCAGTTAGGGTGATCTCATAAAAAAGCAAAATTTCGGAAGGCAGCGGAGGCAGAAACAATCAYGGTCCAGCACAATTACAATCTGAATGGGTGACCGTTTTGAGTGCTTGGATAGGACGGCAGCGATTGCTATAGAAATCCCRGCGAGGGAGACGGAGGCTTTCCAGCAGCATTGGAAATGGCCAATTGYGAAGGGCAGCCTGGGTGCAAAGCCCATTGAGCGAGGCAGCTGCCAGCCGAGCCCGCCTGCCAAGGCAATTGCAGGAACAGTGGACGGAAAGGAGCATCCATAGGGCCCATGGGCCGGGCCGGGCGCGTGCGCCCATGGGCCCCACTCCGCAGGGAGCYACCACCTGCTCCCGCGGCCCCGCAGCCTCTTTCCCTGCTCCCTGAACAAGGCAGGAGCATTCCCGGCTGTGTTACGCCTGCAGAGATGCTTTCGTGCGTGTGTCCTTGCGTTCCCGTGTAGACACGCGTAGTCCAGGAGCTGKTCATGGATTCTGCCCTCCTGGCGGGACTATAGTTGCTCCCATAGGTCTAAGGTAAGGCTTGGTTAAAGGGCTCCGGTCTGTCAATACTTGAACATTTTAGGAGATCAGTTATTGATATAATGGAGAAGGTACCTGGGTGCAGCGCGGCAGCCCATGCTGGGGGACACCGCTGTCTGCTGAGGTTGACCCTAAGAATTAACAGCCTTTCCCAGTGCCCCAGAGGGCTGCAAGGCTGGAGGTTAAGCAGCTTCTGTCCTTAAGTGTCCGTTTCCCCAGTGGGGCTGCTGTCCTTTCCTGAGGCTACAGGGACTTCCTAACTGATTGTTCTTGTTTCACAGGGATCCCTTCCAGGGATTCCTCACCCACTGCAAAGTTTTACCCTTGTTTTTGCCACATGCCAGACATGCCAGCTCTCACCAGCCTGATCAGGAATGGGGACCTGGATGGGGATGGGGCTGCTTGTGCCCAGGCAGCCGCCGCTCCAGCAGCCCCCATCCCCTGATGCCTTCCCGGCTCCTCCTCCTGGGAAAACCCAGCCCTGGAGGTGCAGCTGCTTCCCGMGTCCCTGCACGGCAGTATCTGGCTGTGCCCCTCCGTGAGGCTCCAGGAGTTACTTACCTTAAAAGCTTTCCAAAATGACAAAGTGACCGTGAAGCAAAGGCGTGAGCTGGTGCTTGCGAGGGGAGGATGACCAGCCAACACTCCAGCCGCTGGAGTGGCCTGAGAACACRTTCCCCAGGTCCCTCGGAGCTGGAGCCTATTACAGCTCTAAGGCGACCTGTTAATGTCCTGCTCGTGCCTATGTCCCCAGCGAGAGGTGCCTCAGCCCTGGGGTCTGAATCCTTCCGTGCTCCTCGACACCTGGCTTCAGCAAAGGGCAGATACCTCTGCAGGAAGAGCTGGGCTTTAGCCCCTGCTGCTTCTTAAACAGGACCATGCCCGAGTTCATGTGTCCTGCGAAAAGCAGGATGAGCAAAGCCCCAAACTTTGCAGGGGGCRAAGTTTCCCCTTTCTTGGCTTAAAACCTCAAGAGCGATCCCCTCTTCTCTCCGCCTGGGCCTTCCCAGCC